TTGCTGCAATACATGATTTTCCCTTTTCTGCACTTACTCACTCACTCACCCACCCACCCACCAACCAACCTACCAACGAAGATCCGAGTTAGAATTCCTTTTCAGTAACGGGATCGAGTGGTCAGGCTTTCTGACTTGGTTGATGTATGTTATTGTATCCCAAATGCATAGATTGATACTCATGATGTTGATCACTGGATTGTCTGTTCCAGACTCGAATATTTACATGTCCGTGAAGGTCTGGGTTAGAATGAACCTTCAGTAACCCATGCTTGTCATAAGAGGCGACTAACGGGATCGGGTGGTCAGGCTCGCTGGCTTGGTTGACACGTCATCAGTTCCCAATTGCGCAGGTCGATGCTCATACTGTTGATCACTGGATTGTCTGGTCCAGACTCTATTATTTACAGACCGCCGCCATATAGCTGGAATATTGCTGAGGGCGGTGTAAAACTAAGCTCACTCACTCACTGATACAGCAATCTCAAAATTAGGTTACATAGTTAGGGAATATGTTTTCTTTTTATACAGTTTATAGTAATATTTCGATATGTAATGTTTGAAAGGTGTATTGCGGTTACTGCTAATACCATGCAGTCCTGTTATATTAAAGTACTGTCGGAAATGCTAGAAAAATGCTTTTTGACTTATATTTAAAATTCAGAGGTATTACAGTTACTTAAATAACAAATATCACTTCAAGAAACATCTACCTAATGTAGGCCGGGGGAATAAATTTAGAGACATGCTCTAAACTGTGTTTTTACTGATGAAAATACCAAAAACTTAGAAAAATAAGGGGTAGTTGGACGTTATTTGAAACAAACATTAACTGCCTGTGTTACGTCATCAGCATGCATGGTATTGACAGGTGAAATTGACACCTGACCACACGCTCGGGCGAGGGGTCATCTCAATAGATGTTTTCTGCAAAATGTTGAATATGTGTACGTATGATAGTATACTGATCAGTTATGTAAGGGATCATTTGTGTATGTGTGTTTGTTGTGACATAAACATACCTAATTACTGTACATTGAAAGAATCCTATCACTTGTGGTATCTTATCGATTGATTGTAGAAATGTGCAACGCTTTAATAAATGTTTTGCATGTCAACAGTATAGTTCATTGAAAAATATGGATGTAATTCGGTCAGTTTAATCTAGTTGTGAACATTGGCCAAAGATATATATTATATATATTTTCTTTCTCATAAAGTTTGTAGACCGTCCGGCCTAAGCACTCCCTTGTCAAAGTTGTCAAGGATGGTTTTACGCCTCGGTTTTGCATATGAGACGGTCCCTGTCTTGTCTGATTTGTTTACAATATTGTAAACTTGTTGGTAAGACATGCCAACAGCTCTACAAGTTCTGTAATAAACCCTCTCTACACTAATGAAAGGTTTACCTCTGTCTTTTTTAAGCAGAAAAAAACCTTTGCAACAATCGACTGCAAATCGTTGGCCATAGTGCACGCTGTGATAAAGATGTGCATGCATGACGGAAAACCTATTTATCAAGACTTAACATTTATATTAATATTTCTTCAATACAGAAAACGATAATTAAGTAAAGTAACACAAACATTCAACATTTATTTGTTTAGGAAAAACGTTAATTCATATTTTTACACCACCTGTATTATTAGCATAAATGTAAAGACTATTTCAGATTTCTGTTGTTGAACTCTGAATAAATCTTAAGTTGCTGTTTTGGTACCAAATTCTCTCCTGTAAACTGCCCTTTAAATGCATGGGGATGTTAAATCGATTGAAATAAAAATTACGTAGACAATAGGCGAGTTGATATATTGACAACATAGTACATTTTTCACCTTTATAAAGATACTAAGGCTAAAAAGCATTTTTCTAGCATTTCCGACAGTACTATAGTAACGTTTTTTGTCATAAGAACTTGCACATGTATTTACCAACATTGACAGCTTGAAAGCATTTGTTAGAACTTTGCCCAATCTATGTGCAACCCCTCTTCTGACCCTGTCAAGTCTAACTGTCAAAAACCTGGATTAGGTACAACAATAGTACAATGTCCCAAATCTACATTATCTGTCAAAGGATTAACAAACAGGAATAAATAATTCTCAAAGTCTTGTGATTCTCATTACTTTTGAAGCCATGTACGTTCTGTATTATACAGATTACACTGTAGTATTAATAGACCGGTTTGGGGGAATAGGTGCTGGTGATATCATTGAGATGAAAACGAAATAACTACCAGTATACTTTTGAATTTAAGGACAGAATACTTGGAAAGAAACTCCTCTTTGGGGCAAAATAATGTCTTTCCTAATTTATTTTGCCTCTGCTGCTTTTTTGCAAAACCAGGACAGTAGCTTTGCTGCCAACGATCAAGGAAAGGTTCTATTTATTTCCCTTGACTCTTTGACTCAACCTTGACAACGTGAAGTAATTGCCAATTAAGGAAAACGCATAAACAATGTGAAGAATTAAGTAGTTTTGTCCCTTTGGATTGATGGCATCTGTTATTGTTTGTAGTGTTTCAGGGATAATTGCGCAGAAATTGTTTAAGTCACTAATTAAAATAACCATTTTTTCTATTCCCTCTTCCTCTAAGAACCAATATTCAGACAAAGGTTTGTATTGAGGATGAGCAGCAGTAAAACAGTAAAACTTTCAGTAAAACAGTCCATCAGACTTTTGACCATGATAACAGTTCCTGAACATAAGTGGGTTCAATATTTCTGCATGGCACTTTGAAAACATTAACTGAAATTGCTTTCAATTTTCTAATATTGGCAGAATGGCAAGATTGGTTGGTTTGTTGTTTAATGCTGCACTCAGCAATAATTAAGGTAGAAGGCCAGTCTGTGAATAATCGTCAGGGACCAGACCTTCCAGTGATCAACAGCATCACAATGGATTTAAATCTCGCTTGATGTGTTTGAAGCATATGTGGTTACAGAAAACATTTAGAAACATTTGAGCTCAAAAACATAAAAGTTTATATAGGAGTTAATTTGTTGATGGGTTTTCAGTGCATTTCAGTATGTCAAAATAGTGTGAAGTATTTTTGTTGATTCGAAGTATTGACAGCTTAACAAATGCTATTATACAATATGCTGTATCTTATGTTTATTTTGTATGAAATTCCCCATGGGCACTCATGCTATCAATCACTGGTCTGTTGGGCTAGAATTGAATAGTTACAAGACACCATGATAAAGCTGGAATATTGCGGATAATGTTTTTGAACAACATGCGCTCACTGGTTTAAGTCAGGGTATGAAACTCACAAAACATTTCAGCCAGACCACAGGGCTCGTTAGATGTAAAACTTGCCAGCCCTGACCAAAACTTACCTGCCTGCAAATAGTTTTGGTTTGCCAAGTCACATAGTTTATCATCCAATTGGAATCATTTATTTTTACGATTGAATTAATGATGATTTATTATCCTGAGATATGATGAATATCTTCATATACATGTCCAAATTTTAACCCAATCGTCGGGCAGGTGAATTTGAGAATCTGGCAGTCCTTGTTGAAAATAACCCGTCCCGGGCGGTCAGGCAGGAAGGTATTTCGAACGCTGTTTAAGTGTTTTCTTTGTGTTAGTGAGTGAATTGGATTTAATACTGCCTTGAACGGTATTTCAGGGTTATCACAACACGACCTCTTATTGAGGAAGGAAAGCTTGAGGAAGTACAGTTTTCAGGCGGATACCACATTTACCAAATCCATAAGCACAAGTCTATAGTCCGTTTAGCTCAAAAGCGGACCAATGAATTGCAATCTAACTCGAAAACTAATAAACATAGCATACTCAATGAAACGCTGATCATAATCAAATCATCATACCCACTCTGTGAGAGAAAGGGACAGCCAGGTGTTCGAGAAGCACGTTCACAGACAAAGTTATTTATTCATTAACCTGTGCTGTGCCGTCTCCATCCGTTCTCGAACACCTGGCTGTCCCTTTCTCTGCACTCCTCCCTCGTAACAAATAGTGAACTGTGTCAATATTTTAATGATAGATTGTAAAACAACTTATTTATTTTTAGGACAAAAATTCTGCAAAAACCTCAGAGAGTTGGTATGATGTTTTGATTATGATCAGCGTTTGATTGAGTATTTTATTTTGATTAGTTTTCGAGTTAGATTGCAATTCATCGGTCCGCTTTTGAGCCAAACGGACTACAGTGACAAACGTAGAAACATTATCATTAATATCAAGGCGAACAGAGATTCAGTCCGGTAATCCAAGAATTTGCAACTCATGCAACCAAGGTGTTCAGTAGTGTTGTGGTATGGAAAAGTGCCCTAAACCATGTTTGAGCTAAGGGCATTGTTGTGAGAATTTTTACATGATACTCAGAGGATAAGATGTTCAGAAAGCAGTTACAGATTTATTTTATTCTCAGTAATTATATTTTTTAAGGGCAATAAAACTATTCATGACATCCTTGACTAATGAAAGAACCCATGAAGATCCGGGTTAGAATTGATCTTCAGCAACCCAAGCTTGTTGTAAGAGGCGACTAATGGGATCGGGTGCCCACTTTTGTCACTGGTCAGGCTCACTGGCTTGTTTGACATATGTCATCATGTCTCAGTTGCATAGATTGACGCTTGTGCTATTGATTACTGGATTGTCTGGTCCAGACTTGATTATTTTCAGACTGCCACCATATAGCTGGAATATGGCTGAATGCTGCATAAAACTAAACTCACTCATTCACTCATCATTTTAGCGACTACGCAACAGATACACCCAAGATGTTCAGCATTCATAAGGCATGGAAATGTGTGCTAAACCATGTTTCAGTTGAGGACTTTTGATATACACGTGTGTAATGCACAGGGGATATGATGTTCAGAAAGCAGTGAATGATTTACTGATAATATAGTAATTATATTTTTAAAGGGCAACAACACTATTATCGTCATGTCGTCCTGGACTAATGAAAGATTGTCTCCCTTTGTTGCTGATTCTCCTAATGGCATTTCCTTGTAGGGAGGGTCCAACATACAAGCTAACGGCACCCAACAGGTCGTTGTGTCCACTATGGCACCAGCAGATTTAGCGGCCAAGCTGAAGGACGGGTCACTCCGACACAGGTCGTGCAGGTCCCTGCTGGCTCCTTGACCACAGTCGACTGGGCAGCTAAACTCAAGGTGACAAATGACTCTTTTTCACTTTGCTAAAAATATTCATTGTGATGTCATCATGTAGCAATGTTGAGGTATTTTTTGTGTCAGTACTGTATTGGCACCATTTTGTGAATATTGGCACCAGTTTATGAATATTGGTACCTATTCATGATTATTGGTACCATTTTATGAATATTGGTACCAAATTCATATGTTTAGTCACAGAATCATTTACATTTATTAATGTTACCATAGTAAGAGGGACATAGGCAGAAATTTCAAACATTTGATAGGGCCTAACAAAAAAATATGTTGTGGTTCCGATTACACCTCTTTAAAATTTAGGAAGGAATTATTAGTTTTCACATTTTTTTTAGAAGTTAAGTACGAACAAATAACACATTTATAAATGTGTAATTGTTTATTCAATCAAGCTTGCAGCCATCATGTCAACTTTCTCTATCAGAATGACCAATGTCCGTTGGTGCCAGGAAAAAACAATGGTATCTAAAAGCTTATTTTATTCATACCTCTTAAAAAAACTAGGGTCGGCACCAGAATTCAAGGGTCGGTCGGGTAATTGGAACCACAACATTATTTTTTTTAGACCTGGATCATTTAATTCACATTTAGCATCGTCTACAAAAATAATATTTTTATTTTCATCAATAAACATATACAGTATTCAATTTTACGATTAATTGCAACACGTTTTAGTTGATGTATTGATGATTAATTAAATTAAATATTTCATATTTGTCTTGTGGTAATCCTGTGTGCACCATGCCTGGTAAATGAGTTTAATGCCATTTTTGGAAATATTTGAACAATATCAGAGAACACAAGACTTTATGTATAGAGAATAGAACTCAGGTCTTTGGTGTAACCAAAAAATGCTTTACCCACAAGACCATCTCTCCCCTTTCTGAGACTTTTAATAAGTTTTAGCCACTGTCTGATTCCTAAGTCTAGTGAATTCCTGTTTAGTCCAGTAAGCTCAGTTTGTAATATTCCATCTTATAACGCTATAATCATGTGAAACACATGTTCAGTAGGTCTGCAGTGAATCAACTTTCAGGCGAAAATGATACGTCATGGATATTGGGTAACGAATACAGTAAGAAGTCAACAGCTGATGTATTATTCCTTGTATTCAGTGAAGCAATAACAAAATATATATTTTAAAATGTTTTGACCTTGCTGAAAGTGTTAATTTATCATGACAATAACCAGTGACCATATTAGTGTCAAATTAGTTACATAAGAGTGTTGACTATTATCCTAACAGCCTTGGATATATTCTATTTTGCACATCTCGCTTTGATAAATACCGGGCTGGGTAATTGTAATTGAGGTGAGGCTCATTGAACCTTTATTTGCAGACCATGTGTAGTATGAACAAGGATTTCACAAACAATGGAAGCTTACTGACCAAAATAGTTCTGGGAACGGTTGTTTCGAATGAAATGTGAAGTTCTAATGTCTACTGGCAAACAACATCAGAGGCATTGGACATCAGTCAAAACGAAATGCGAGATCTTCTTGACCCTAAAGTGACCCCACTTCAAACCCCTCTAATTCTAGGTATGAAAAACTTGCCTTATCGAGGTGATATATAGTAACACCCAAATTCAAGTAAAAAATGTCTTTCATGACTGACCACCATGTCCACTTGGTGGCCTGTTATGACCAGCTCAGATAGCTGGAGATAAGTTCTGTCTTCATAGGGCGTCAATCTTTTACATGTTATTTAAGTGAGTGAGTTTAGTTTTATGCCACGTTTAGCAATATTCCAGCAATATTATGACGTGGGGCACCAGAAATGGGCTTCAGACATTGTACCCATTTGGGGATTCAAACCCGGTCTTCGGACTAACAAGCAAAAAACCTTAACCACTGGGTTACCTCACCTGTTACGTAAGTAATATAGTTTGATGTGTTTCTTGCAGGAGTTGCAGCATGCCCAGAGATTGGAACGACTGCGGGAAGAGCAACAAGCAGTCCGGGACAAGCTAACGCAAAAACAACAGTTCGAGGCCAAATATGAGCCTTGTGTTGTTTGTGGCGACCGTGCTTCAGGTAATGTGTATAACTGTAACAGTCACACAATATCATGTTTGTACCTAGCAAATAATTAAGTCTGGACCAGACAATCCAGTGATTCAAATCACAAGCAGATTGATCTTCATATAGCTGTAAAATTGCTGAGAGTGGCGTTAAACAACAAACAAACAAATTTGGGTATTGTAGGAAGTGTAAACATGATTAAACCTTTATGGTGCTGGAATCATGCATAAAAACAGTTTATCTGCTTCCGAAAGTACTTATTGTGTATTTGCAAAGCATCCCATTGTTTTAGTGGTGCTGTATTTGGAAAACATTCGATCAGTGTTAAGGTCAAGGTTATGGTGACCTTCATAATGATGATTCATAAATTATGTCATTTTCACTAAATAGAATTTGAGTCTTTTGTGCATGAGGACTGTGATTTGAATAAGAAGTGTTACAATTGTCATTAAAACAGATTTATGACAATTGTATTCGAGATCATGAAACCATATTTTTTCATAATTTTCACTGACATTGAAGATGGTGACATTTATAAATCTGTTGTTTGCTGTGATGATAAACATTTGGTTTCACTGTGGCGTCAAACATGAAAGGAACAGTTTAAATGTTGCTTCTACCTACAGGTCGCCATTACGGAGCCATCAGCTGTGAGGGATGCAAAGGTTTCTTCAAACGGAGCATCAGGAAGCAGTTGGGTTATGCTTGTCGAGGGGCTCGAGACTGTCCCGTCACAAAACTCCATCGTAACCGATGCCAGTACTGTCGACTACAAAAATGCCTGGCTGTTGGAATGAGATCAGAGTGTAAGCCAAACATAGTTGTCTCCCTTGGTCTTCTGTTGAACTTTCATAGAATTGAGGCAGAAAAAAAAAATGTTTTGGTTCTCAGACTCTTTCAAACTACAAGATCCAAATATAACATATGTTACATTTGACCACTTTCTAAATGGCATTGTGTAATCATAGCTTTTGGCCGTGGGAGCCGTGCCAATTAACTTATCAGAGGGATACACAAAGCCCGCAGTCTAGACTACCAGTTGTCCGACTTCCATTTTTGTGGAAGTCGCGTTAGCTGAGCGGGTTAGGCGGCTGACTTTGTGTGCTGGCGATTAGGTGCCTGACTCTGAGGGTGTGAGTTCGAATCCCGGAAGGGGCTCAACTCAAAAAGTACTAGAATTGTACTTTACTAAGAAAGTGTAATCCCAAACATAACATATGTTACATTTGACCACTTTCTAAATGGCATTGTGTAATCATACAAGATCCTCATCAAGAAAAATATACTGAGAGCCAAAATAGAGTATGCATGCATGTTTGATGGTGGATGGCAATTAACTACACTTGAAATATAATTTCAAAACTGAGATACTGGTTTCATAAGTTTGTTGGGTGTGAAATTTACATTCTTTTTTATAACTGTTTTCAGTGTGGTAACTTTTGTAATTGGTGGTGAAGCACAATTTTCAAGTGTCTGTTTTCTTTTGTCAGGCAATTTATTTGTCTGATTTCCTAGGGAAAGCTTTAGACATTGGGAGTTATGTATCTGTGTTAGCCTATGGGCAGGAGCATGATAAGGCTACATGTATGATGTTCCGTAGTCTGAGAACCAAAGAATTTGGTTTTATAGTTTGAGTTATTACCTGTATGTTTTCAGTTGTTTATTGTGAATTGTTATCTGCTTTCAACTAATCTCATATTTCCCCTCTTTGACACAATCTTATTGGTGTGAAGTCAGATTCACCAAGTTTTTCCTGTGGTCTTGTTTTTATATTTCAAATTATCGAGACACTTTAAAGGTTTTTAACCCTGACAGTAGTTCGTTTGCTGTCTCCACTGTGTCATTTCCCAGACAGCTTACCAAATGTGTTTGATTTAATACTGCTTCTAGCAGTTGAAGAAAAAGGTCTTCTGATGAAGTAGATTTGGTTCATACTATCTCAAGGTCAAGATTATGGGGGCATGGATTGCCAAGTAGTCACAGGCATCCCAATCTGTCGAGCAGAGTTACCTCCCTTGGGCACGCAAGCAACCTATGATCCTGGGCCCAGATTTTCAAAGCTCTCTTAGCGCTAAGATAGTCGTAAGTGCCATACATTAACATTAACTTACGACTATCTTAGTGCTAAAAGAGCTTCGAAAATCGAGGCCCTGGGTTTCAACCAGCATTAAACCCAAACCCACTCACTCACTCGTCAAAGTGAGGGAGCTTATAGTGTCAGCTCACATTGGTCAGTTGTCTGTCTGGAGAAATATTTTGCACAAGTGCATCTATTTTTTAATTCAAAGATGAAGATGCAGGGGATCTTGTGTCCTGCATCCATCAATGTTGATGCCATCTAGCGTCATCTCATAGTGAGTGAGTGAGTGAGTATGGTTTTACGCTGCTTTTAGCAATATTCCAGCAACATCATGGCAGGGGACACCAGAACATCTCATAGAGAAGTGGGTTCAGTATTTATTCATTAAGTATTTTGTACAAGTGCATCTGGTTTTGGCTTCCAAGATGAAGATGCAGGAATCTTGTGACATGCATCCATCAATGTTCATGCCATCTAGCATCATTTCATAGAGAAATGGGTTCAGTATTTATTCATTAAAGACCACTTATCAGAGTCTGCGCTGACAATCTTTAAGTCTGGATTTGATTCAAATGTCATTATCACTGTTTGGCTGAGCTGAAACACATTCCAGATTTAGCTTTCATTAGTTGTCCTGCTGTTACCTGTGGCCCTGTAAATTATTGAATCTGGGCCATGTTGATTGCAAGCCCATTGTTGTTGTTTTTTCACACATTGTGATCGAAGTGTTGACATTTTTTTATATTTTTTTTAAATCACTTTATTTCTTTTTGAAAGGTACAGGGTACAACATGATTATAAACACAAGCAAATGAATAATTTGAGATACATATACAAAAAAGTATTATATTGTATATAATATATCATTTTAATATTTTCATTTGTACATTGAGCAAACATCGAATGAAAATAACAAGTAGTAATTTCTTTAATGTGAAGGGGTTTTCACTAGTGGTGGTCCGTTTAATTGAAATAATCGAAGATTGGTCGCAATGACAAAACGACCAAGCAATCGATCATGTTTTCTCATAATCGAACACAAACAATTTTGGACCATTTGTTTGCAATAACAATATTTTTCAAAAGGTTGATTTTGTCTCGACATTGCATAAGCACTACAAGCTCGTTCCAAGTCATGATTAAATTTATCTTAACAACTCCAGGAAATGTATGTTCCTAACACACTAGTCATCCTTTAAAGATGTGAAATTTGCAAATGCATTTTGTGCAATTTGCGGAAAAAAACGAGAGAACTACATGTTTTTTCTTTATTTTTTGTGCATTAACAAACATAACCAGGAAATTTTGATAAATGACGCTAACCAATTATTTTCGATGATTGATCGGTTGTAATGAACCAATCATCAATTATGAGATTTACACCAATTCCCAACACTAGTTTTCACTAGCGGTGAAAACCCCTTCACAGTGAAAAAAGTGTTGACATCTTACTGTGATATGAATTCCCATGGTGTCTTGCTTTGAAATCATGGAAAATGTGTTCATGTTGATGATAAAGTGTTCACATATAGCAGCACAGGATCGATGTTGTTCTGTTAACGGAACTGTTTAAACTTGAGTTTCCAATGTTAGAGAGTGACTACTTGTATGAATTCTTTAAAGACCCCATCAACAGTTCTAGTTGTCATGGCAACTCATCAAGAAAAGGAAAAGAGTGTTTAATGAGAATATTGTTAATGCATGTTACATCTTTGTTTGTTCTCTTTTCACAGACAGTAATTTTCTAGTTGTCATGGTTACTGCTGACAAGATTTTGTATTCTTGTTATATTTGTTACTTTATGACGGTTTCCGAGGAGATCACACTTTTCTCAAATTTCTCATGTTTTTCACAGATATAACACAATTTTAAACAGGATTTGTCAAGGTGGAGGATAGGAATTATGTTATAAACAAGTGAAGCGTATTTTGAGACATTGTTTGCTAGCCTATTTGCACCATTTACACGAATACTCTGAAACTTATTTTTAATTCCTCAGAAAAGTAGAAAGACAGTTCCATCATTTGTGAGATAATAAGTTTGTTATTGTTGTACCCTCTAAGCAACATTGGTCAAAGCTGAAGGTGTTTTGACAATGAAGTAAATATTCTTTTTGGGCTTTCTGATCTGTTTGTTTTCAAGGACACTGGCTTACAGTCTCCGAACAGTATTTTTCAAAATCTGTAATGATATAGAAAGAATATTATCCTGCAAACTGGTCCTAAGTCTCATTTAAACTACAATTGAGGCTGTAGAAAAAGTGCATTAAAAAAGAAAATACCATTTGAATTTAAGAACAGCCAAAGAGTTGTTGAGTGTAAATTGTTGAGTGAGAGAGTGAGTTTAATTTTACGCTACATTCAGCAATATTCCAGCTATGTGGCGGCCGCCTGCAAATGATCGAGTCTGGACCAGACAATACAGTGATCAACAGCATGAACACTGATCTACACAATTGGGACAGTTGACATGTGTCAACCAAGGCAGCGAGCCTGACCATCCGATCCCGTTAGTCACCTCTTACAATAAGCATTGGTTATGAATCATGGGTTTTAGATATTTTAAATACTTTTACAATTATACCTGTTGTGATTCATGAGAATGCATGTCTCCAGATATTTTTTTCTCTCAGTTGATAGCTAGAACAGTGAAAAAACTCGTAATTAAAAAATGGTTAAGTTTTGAATCAGTATTTTTTTTATTCGACACAAAGTTTCCAAGGTCATTATTTTTCAAGAAAAAGAAAAAAATTAAATATTTATTTTCCCAGCTCAAAAAGTAAAATCCTAATGTTTGGGGGGGGGTTTATTGGTGAAAAAGGTAAATTTACACAAAAACTTGGGGTTTTTTTTCAGATTGTGTTTTGCCCCATATACACTTCATAAATTGCCAAAAGGAAAATACTTATAGTATTTATTTATTTTAATTTTTTTAATTTTATTCCCTCCTGCCTTTCGGTTTTCTGAGGACAAAAATCCGTAAAAGAAGAAATAAAATTGGTCGGGCCTAAGCGTCAAAATCAAATCTAAATTCGAGGTTTCTGTGTTGACAGTCATAAGATATATTTTCAGGGCTTTAGTGTGAAGAAAATAGGCTCTGTATGTACAATCAATGTCACTCACTGTCAAACACTGAAGATAACATTATGTTGCAAATATCGGAATACGGGAACCAGAATCGTAATACATTACAACACAATTTATTTGCCAATACACAGCCCTAGATGTTGTTTTTTGTGTCATTAACAAGGCATGTGAGTGAGAAAGTGTGATCTCATCAAGGTTTTCCATGTTTTTGTTAGAGTTGTTATTTGAGATATTACTTACTGTTGTAGCTTTCGCCGATAAGTCAGCTGATTTGCAAGCTCAGGCTTCTCCGTATATTGAGGGTAAGAGTCGATGTTCCTGGCTTTCTGTACACTACAAAATATATTGGCCACAGCTATTTTTTCAAAATTGCATTTGATAAGACAGAATATCTGTTGTTACTCTGTTTGGCCCACGCACTGAAAAATGTTGGCAGATTCCACACACCCGCTGCTTTTAAATGATTAGCTTCAAACATGTTGGTACTGTGCTTTATGAACACCCTTTAGACCTGAAAAGTCGGATGACAGTTCTACAGCGCGCAAAGTCTTGTCTTGTTTTACTGGTGTGTGAATCAGCTACGAAATGTCCCTTACCCACAGGGCAAAGGATTAATCCCAACTTTAATCAGCGCAATATGATTTTGCAATGTCTCTCTTGGTTTAAACGGTCGTAAAATTATGCCAGCTTGTTCCAATTTATGTTAATTCAGTGTGCGAAATAGCCGCTTGCCTGCAAGCCTGTGGCTAGCAAACTTTCGATCGAACTCGTTCAGAAATGGTCCTTGCTACTGACATTTTAATGGTGATATTTTAAAGTGTGCCTTTTTGTAGATCTTAAAAAGATAGAATAAAAGTGACCTTCAAAAAAAAGAATATCATTATTATCAGTAACAAATCAAGGTCAGAAGATCGAGAGTAATCCCCCCTTTCATAATATTTGACCCATGATGCAGTTGGGATTTACTTTATTGATGCAGAATCAAGTTTTGGAGGACAAACTGTCACTTGTTTAAGCTATTGAAATTTGTAAGTTAGCCCACGTGGCCAGCAATATTTTGAGACTATTTCACACACTGCATTGTTTACTAAGATTTATTAAAGTGTAATTCCCCCTTGAGCACCAATATTTGGCCATTGTTGAAGCTAGTTCACGAATGCCCACAATTTGCACTAAACATGTTTCTTCACGTTATTGAGTAGTTCACTAACATTTTATCAAGTAATATTTCATTCCCATTTAAGTGATGATTGTCTGAAATGAGGTCAGTACTTAAGGATGTACAGCAAGAGTGATGTCCCCTTCCTGTTATTGACCTTGGGCAGATATGTTTGTAGTGTACGAAAGCCATGTTGTTTGCGAGCCTTTGCTGACTCCGCTGTCTCTTTGTGTACAGCCGTGCAACAAGAACGCAAGCCTCCGGACCAGAAGGATAAGATACAGACTACTGTTGCTACGTCCACGCAGAGAATCTACATCCGAAAGGACTTCAATAGTCCTTCAGCAGCAATCCCGACCTTTGCAGCTAAAGTGAGTTCATATCTTGGCACTTTATACTTCTTTCTATATTTGTGAGTGCGCCAACTAGCAAGGTTTTACACCTCTTTTATTCCAGCAATTATCACGATCGGTGACACCAGAAATGGGCTTCAAATATTGTACCCATGTAGGGAATCGAACCTGTGACTTTGGCATCTAGAGCGAATGGTGGGGGTAGCCTAGTGGTTAAGGAATTTGCTCGTCATGCTGAAGACTCGGGTTTGATTCCCTACATGGGTACAGTGTGTGAAGCCCATTTCTGGTGTCCCTCACCATGATATTGCTGGAATATGGCTGAAAAGGAAATAAAAACTATACCCACTGTGTCTCTCTTACTAGACATGATCTCTTTCAAAAGGGTCCTTAGTTCTTCATGCAAGGAGGTATCGTACCATAGTAAATAGAATCTCATTTGAATCAAGTTGTTAAACTCTATCAGTCTGCCCTACACTGTATTGTAAGTTGAGATGAGGATACATTAAAAAAAATAAGAAAAACCTTCAGACACTGATAATATTTATTATTTGAAACATATTCAGTCCAGGCTTATCATGTGTTACGACCCTTTGATTTCCATGTTTTGATATTTGGGTACATGTTTCTATACTGTTACTATTGTTACAGTTTATTTTCAAGTCATTTGTGTATGTTTATGCTTTTTTGGTTCTGGCAGTAAGGATCAACAGCTGCAATGTGATATATGTGGGGCTGGCTAAAGAGATTGATAATCAGAATTATCGTCGATAGGAAAATAATTTATGATTATCATTATGAAAATAGTGTCATTGGTCATATCATACATAAGCCTTTGTGAAAGAATAAAAGTATTTTTGCTCACACAATACTCAAAGTTTGGTTTTTATTCACGGGTGCTTCTAAATTATGTACAGGACACTGTTCTCTTAATTATCCATGCATAAATATGTCACCTCTTGCAAGTGATGTAAAATATGTTGATTTCTTTTTTGGTATTTTTGATCAAAATTCTGATATTTATCAATAATATATCGATATTTAGTTAATGATTATCAATCACTATGATCAATAGCCAGTCCTTACTACATGTGTAATATATGATTGACGAAGAGTATGACTGATATGATTTAGCCTGTACCGAACCTTCAACAAGATTCCTATGAACTCCAGAGCCCTGAAGACGGCACAGCCAAGGCTGTGGGGGGAAGCCTACTGGCCAACCTGCAGGAGAGGGTCATCCAGACTGACCAGGGCATGGTCATTCTCAGCTCCCAGATGCCTTCCACCACTGCAAACACAGGTCAGTTCTTGTTGCCCGGCAACAGGTGGCATTATTCACGTTATAACTGGACATGTAAACTGGTGTGATAACAGAAGCTGTTTCGTCCAGTGATTATAGGGACACACATCGATTTGTCCTTGCTGGTCCCCAAGGTCATGTGTTTGAGTGCAGTAGCAACAGTTACCATGGTTACATGTAATATGAACGGGTATCGCGAAAAAAGCAAGTGTTTTGTTGTGTATTAAATTGAAACAAGCTGTTCTATAGTTTTGTCTGTTATAACAATCACCAAAATGGGCAAGAATGCCTTGTCTAAATGAACTTAGAGGGTGTTTGGTTGGTTTGTTGTTTAAAGCAGCACACAGCAATATTCCAGCTGTATGGTGGCGTTTTGTAAATAATTGAGTCTGGACCAGACAATCCAGTGATCAGCAGCATGAAGACCGATCTACGCAATTGGGATACAATGGCACATCAACCAAGTCAGCGAACCTGACCACCTGATCCCATTAGTCGCCTCTTATGACAAGCATGGGTTTGCTAACCCAGGGCCTAGATTTTCGAAGCTCTCTTGGCGCTAAGATAGTCATAAGTGCCATACATTAACATTCACTTACGACTATCTTAGCGATAAGAGAGCTTTGAAAATCTAGGCCCTGATGTTCACGTGTCGCAATAATGTACTGTCTAAATGGATTTATAGTGTGTATTTAGAGGATGTATAGTTGAGTTTCTGTAACAAGAACAAGGTTCTATTCATCATTCACAAAATGTTCCACAGCTATAAACATTAGTTTCAATTTGTTTGTGAGATTGTTACAAACTGTTCGCAATACCTGAAGTATAATCTCCACAAACATCACATCATATTTAGCCTTGAACCAGTGTATAAAATATAGCCTGTCCCTTTTATGAAGAACGGTCTATTAAATAAGTAAGGCCGTCCTTTGGTCGGTGGAAATATTTGGAAAAATTAACTTAACTTGGTTTGAATGAAGAGTTTTAGTTTTTGGGACTGGCTGTGTTTGTTCAGGACAGGTCACTTTTTGGCACAGCCAGTCCTTGGACAGGCCACATGTCAAAACTATTTTATACACTGCTTGAACTTTTGTTTCTGTGTGAGCTTATCATTGATTAGGTTTTTTTCTTCCTGTAGTCAATTCAGATTCTTGGGATGCTACAGTTACTGCAAAAACATCTCCTACATCACTCAGGTTTATCATACTTTTATCTTGCTGTGAGGATTTTTACCATGCTTTTAACGCCCTGTGATTTTGTCATACTTTTAACTCCCTGTGGGGAGTTTTATCTTACTTTTAACTCAGTGTGGTGATTCTGGATTAGGTCCCAAGCAACCTAAACTTGTTGAAAGCCACTAAAGGGATTGGGTGGTCAGTCTCGCTGAATTGAGTGTTGTCATGTCAAGGTATCCTGATTGCATAGATGACCTCCATCATTGGATTGTCTGGTCCAGACTCTTAACACACACAGACTGCAATTATGTTGCTACATGCATTTAACAGCAAAAAAACATAATTTTTAAAAAACCCTAAATGTATTGTGATATTCAGAAACAGAATTACTACTTCTATACCTTGCACAGAAATATCAGTGTCACATTGTCCAGAATGTATGCATTGTATATACTAAGCAGGAATTCATCTGGACATGCTCAAGGGTTGATAAATAACCCCCTAACTTCAGGAAACTGAAAATTCCCAAATAGAAATATATTTATTTGAGTTTCACTGATGTCAAGGAAGAATTGAGATGACGATGCTTGATATATATTTTTGAATTACCGAACAGTATGAAATGTTAACATATCTCTGAAGTTAGGCGAATAATTCTAAAAAACTGCCAGTTTTCTATTCTGTACTCTCAAGGGTATCTAGTTTGGAATCTTAGTTCTTAGGCCATTATATCCCAACCACGTAGATAAATGCTCATGATATTGATCACTGGATTGTCAGGTCCAGACTCGATTATTTGCAAACTGCTGCCATATATCTGGAATATTTCTGAGTGCTTACTGACTTGGTTGACACATGTCATCGTATCCCAATTACGAAGATTGATGTTCATGATGTTGATCACTGGATTATTTACAGGTCGCTGCCATATAGTTGGAATATTGCTGAATAAGGCATTAAACAACAGACAAATTAAATATGCCAGTTTTGATTTCTTTCCTAATTTGCATGTTATCTAGTTTGGAATTCTGGGCAAGTAGTACAAGCTCTGTATGGACAATGTCCTGTTGTAGATCTGAGCACTCTGGCCAGTGTCGTGACCACCCTGGCCAACATGGGGAAGAACGAAGGGGATCAGAGCCAAGGGGGAGACCCACTCACGCCGTCAAACGGGGACTCGGAGGTGGACACTAACACAGACTCGGTGGCCAAGGCGTTTGATACTCTGGCCAAGGCTGTCCAGCCCCAGTCAAGTCAGGTAATGCGTGTATGACCTTCTCTGTGACTTCTCACTCGTGTACGTTTTGTAGCAGAGATGCCAACTTCTGATCAATGTATGTTGGATGTGTTTTGTTTGTGAACGTGTATGTGGGTCATGATCGGTCTCATCACATGCATGATATTTAACACACTGTATTGGAGACAGAACTGATTTTATCTCTGATAGAATATTGTGCCAATAGTCAGGAGAACTCTGATCAGGTTTATGCTAGGCCTAGAGAGGACTGGTCCAGTAAATATAGTGTCTTAGACTGGTTCAAAGAAGGCCTCGATCAGGTATAGATCTGGTTCATAGAAAGTCTTGATCAAGTTCATAACTGGTTCAGAGAAGGCCTAGACCAGGTTTAGAACTGGTTCATTGAAGGCCTGAACCTTGTTTGGATCATAGACGCTAAGATCACTTTGCCCGTGGTCATTGACGTTCTAAAATATCATCTTCCCGTGAAGGTCCGGGTTAGAATGAACCTTCAGTAACTCATGCTTGTTGTAAGAGGCAACTAACGGGATCGGGTAGTCAGGCTCGCTGGCTTTGTTGACACATGTCATCGGTTCCCAATTGCACAGATCGATGCTCATGCTGTTGATCACTGGATTGTCTGGTCCAGACTCGCTTATTTACAGACCACCACCATATAGCTGGAATATTGCTGAGTGCAGCGTAAAACTAAACTCACTCACTCACTCACTCTAAAATATCATTGCAGACCTATTGTCTATCACTCAGTGAACGTGAATCTGTGTATTACAGAGCAGCACACTAGACCAGTCGGTGTCCGAGACCAGCCTCAATGAATCGGGGATGAGTACTGAGTCAGGAGACAGCAGCTTCATCATCGACATCGAAGGTGAGTCTAACAATGGCAGAAAACTACATCATGAGTTAGCATTTGTTCACAAGGGACATAATAGGTATTTCATAGTTTTGAGTAGATTATTCTGTGTGCATTGACATTTCAAGAGAGAAAATGAAGAAAAAATGCAAACTTACAGAGAAACTACACTAAAAGGCAATGTATTGTTTAGACGATGTGATATATTTGGACATCACTTGGCTTAAATTGACCAATCAGCATTGAGAATGACTAAAATGCACATTTGCAAATATTGAAAATATATGCCGTCATTCTGCCTTATGAGTAATATATAGATATTGTTAGGTAATTTTTTTCACCTGTGTTATTTTGATCTAGTTATATCCAGAAACCTTATAAGAGTTACCTCCCTTCCGATGGTCTGCTATTTTTAATCAGACATGCCTGAATCTGAGCAGATAAGACAACAGCACCAAACAGATTCAAATGCATTTGGTGCACGGCTGTTACTTTGGGAAGGGGGCCAATAGAGGACTTTGAACCAGGAATTATTTTAACAGAAATCCAATAAAACTATGAACTAAAATTATATTGCTGGTGTCATTATATTCTAAGGGCTGCCCATATGCATATCGCAAGATATTGTCACAATTGCTGCCCACTTGAGGAAGTGAGCTTGTCAAGGGGGGTAACTCTAGTGGGTATATTGGACTTGGATTAAGATGGCAGCATTTGATATTTGTTTCAGAAACATGGAGATCTTTGCAAGCTAGTAAACTAAATTTTATAAAAAGTGGGGTTTTTAATCAGATATTTAAAAATATTTGCTTGAGAATTTCAGGGTCACTGCGACACTTTGAAGTTTTCAGCATGTTAACCTGAATTCCCTGGATTTTCTTCATAGACTTTCAAGACTTCCCTTGAATGTTTTTCAATAAGCAATTTCTTTAGTACCACTTTTGCATATTTCATACACTATGACATTCATGTCAAGGTCAAAGTAAGTCTTGAAAATATTTGTGTGTTTAAACAACTAAAGAGCAAGAGATCAAGAGAGGTTGACTGGTCATGTTTTTGTTGACATTTAACTTCATCTTAAACTTTCATTACTTTTTAAGTTTGATTTGATAATTCACGGCGGGGGGATTTTGTCACTTTAGTGAAAATGCTTGTTGTTTTTGTTTTTAAAGAAAATCTATTTTTCATTATCACTATCATACTACTATATTCCCTCAACTTCTAAACTTGGAATTATGTTTGTCTGGAAGTAATCCGACAACCTTCATTTGTCCAGACCCGGACGTGATGATTGTTTTTGTTTTCAGGTCCTATTCTCTCGGAGTCCAACTTCCAGTTCAACCTGACCACCCCATCTCCCATGCCCGCTTACTTGAATGTCCACTACATATGTGAGAGTGCATCTCGCCTTCTGTTTCTCTCCATGCACTGGACACGCTCAATCAACGCCTTTCAGATTCTCAAGTAAGTTTTTTGCTTGTTTGTTTGTTTGTTTTAAGGGCAAGTAAACTGAGAGTATATTGTTGTGCCACACTGTGGTGTCTTCTGAATCAAGTGGCTTTGCTCGAGAGAGAGGCCTTTGTGTACCCAGCTGTGAATGGGTACCTGGTGGGTTTAGATGTGACAGGGCACTTACTAAAGCCTCATAGGCAGCTCGGTTTGTATACTCCCCGGGAAGAGACCGCCTCTGTGGCATAGTGGTTAGAGCGTCCGCCCGGAGAGCGGAAGGTCGCGGGTTCGATCCCCGATCGCGTCATACCAAAAGATGTTAAAATATGGTACTTGTTGGTTCCTGCCTGGCGCTCGGCATTAATGGATACAACAAGGACTGGTCGGCTCGGGAGTCAGTATAATGTGTCTGAGTGGGGTATTCATGCTTCACTGCGGCATGGTATCTCAGTTAGCTAGCACTATAAAACCAGCTTAAGTCTGGGCTAGTACAAGCAGCCGCACATACACATACACATACGCATGCACGTCGTCATATGAGCGAAATATTCTCAAGCATGACGTTAAACCCAATTTCATCTCATCTCACCTCACCTCACCTCACCTCACCTCGGGAAGATGATGATGAAAATTGAGTGCACATTTATCCAGAATAGTAATAATGTAAAGCCCTTGTGGGCAGTCTAGGTTGAACTCAAAGCTGCAGCCATCATCATCATCAATAGTGAATAGGAGAGGTGTAATATTCAAAAGACTTACAGTTGAAACCAAACAAACAAGGTCAACCAGATCAATGATTAAATTTGCGTCCATCTTTGTTTATTTCAGCCCTGATCTTCAGACAACAATCGTTCGGTCGTGCTGGAGTGAGCTGTTCTGCCTCGGGCTAGCACAGTGTTCCAACACCATGTGTTTGTCCACCATCCTGGCAGCCATCTTGAACCATCTTCAGGCCAGTCTGCAGCAAGGTACAAACGCAAATGCAGGTTCGGGGCCTTCTTTTAACACTCTCTGTCTCCATGTACGCTGCCTATTTTCCGCATCTGCACAACTAATACCATATAACCTACTCCTGTCAAGCATGACAAGCATTCTGCATCCACCCTTTCTCAGCTTTCAAGGATATTGTTACATTTATAGAAGTTGATCTGTCCGTCTGCTCTCAGTTTCTTGAAAAGTGGTTGAAGAAGGTGGGGGATCTAGAACCAGAGTTTGCCCGTCTGCTTCTCAATTGGACAATATTTTCTCAAAAACCTTTTGACTTAGAGAAATGAAACTTTACACATCGAAGTTACTTGCCATAAGCAACAATTAGTGCCTAAAATAAATTTTCAGTTGAGATCACTGCTCAATTCTTTTCAACTGAATGCATACTGATGACGATACACAAATGAGAGTTACAGTCCTTGATCCATTCTACTTTACTAAGTACATAGTGTTTGCAATGGAACATTCTGTCAAAAGCTACTGATATTGCACAAATGAAACTTTTCATGCTTATCTAAGAAATACTTGTCAAGACTGCAGATGGCGCTATATGAGTATTTTTTGCTCTGGAGTTCACCTCCCTTGCTTACTGCTTTATTTAGAACTTCTGCATGCTGTTAGAAAATCAGCGTTGTGATACATATCTCAAATTCTAATCAGCCCCATGGGAGGGGATAGTGATAAAGTTGTTACCTCGACCTTTTCAGAGAAAGCCGACCAAGACAAGGTGAAGGTGGTGATCGAGCATATCATTCGTCTACAGGATTACATCACTGCCATGTCTCAGCTACAGGTCACCTCGGCCGAGTACGCCTATCTCAAGACACTGGTCCTGTTTTTCTCAGGTAATAAACACTCATCAACAGGCTTTTATTCTCTAAATTTGTTCCAGAGCAATAAATCGACACTTCAAGCCAAAGTGCAACCCATGCGTGTAATAAGAGGTGACTAACAGGTTTTGGTGGCAGGGTTTGTTGACTTGGTTGCCACATGTCATCGTATCCCAATTGATTAATTTCCGCTGTCATATAAATGTAATATTTTTTAGTGTCATGTTAAAGAACAAACATTGTAACTAGGCTGACTGTGTGTCAGAGTACACCAATGGCTTTCATACACCATAGTACACAATGCTACAAACACTGCTGGTCTAGATGTATTAAATGAGTGAGTGATTTAGTTTAATGCCACACTGAGCAATATTCCAGCTATATGGTGGCGGTCTGTAAATAATTTAGTCTGGACCAGACGATCCAGTGATCAACAGCATGAGCATCGATCTGCACATATGGGAACCGATGACATGTGTCAACCAAGTCAGCGAGTCTGACCACCCGATCCCGTTAGTCACCTCTTTAAATACAGACAGCTGTGATATTGCTGAAATAAGCTGACTGAAGCATTTAACAACCTCACTAACTCCTGAACTGTCTCCATCCTCCAGACAACCCCAACATCCGGAACAAACGTCAGATCGAGAAGCTCCAGGACAAGACCAGCAAGGAGCTTGTGCAGCACGTCCAGGCCATGGGATCCTCCTCCGAGCGAATAGCCAAACTGTTGCTGCGTCTTCCCCCTCTCAAAACATTCAGTCCAAACACAATGGAGGAGCTGTTCTTCTCCGGGCTGATCGGCAGCGTCCAAATCGACAGCATAATTCCCTATATTTTGCGGATGGAGACCGCAGAGTACAACCTTCAGATGACCGGGCAGCTTCTCTCCCCAGCCCAGGGACAAGCTACGGAATACAGCATTCATTCTGTCAACGGACTGCCTGCACAAGGTACCGTCTTGCAGGACTTCAACGCTTCAGTGATTAACGGCCCAGCCGCCCAGGTCCTGCAAGCACAGACAATAACCCCAGGGTCAAGTGCGTGACATACACATGACCTTGACCTGAGTTACTTTGGTCAGGAAGGATGATGTTCATTATCAAGTCGGCTGACATTTTGTTTTCACCAAAAGGTGATGTGAGCATGATCAGTTTTTCATTTTTTTTAAAGGAGGCATCCTTGTCTTTTGATGACGGGATTTGCAACTCCATTATAAAGTGCTATGGAACAGACAATTACTGGATTCTTTCTTGCAACTGACAGCAGCCTGAGAGAAGAGGTTGTTCATTATTTAAGATGGTTATGATCTATTGTATACTCTGGTGCTGTGACATGTTGTAGAATACTTGATATTGCGTTGCCAGTGAAAAAAAGTCATGCTCTAGGTGTCTTATGATGCAGAGAATGCTATATACGAGTGGTGCACTTTAATTGAGAGACACCCCCAGACAATCCTCTATGTTGCCAGGGCTAGCATTTCAGTAAACCTCTTTTAACACCTGGATCTATTCCATGGTTCTTGCGATCCCAAAGTGCCCACCATGAATTTTGAACATTTCAACATCCAATCAAATCTCAGATATGGGAAAGGGTAAGGGAGTTAACTCATGTTACCAAGAAACCAAAGCCAGTGTCAGTTTTAATGGACATGAAGACTTTCTTTTGCATGTCAGTCTTATTTTAAATAATAAATTTTCCCTCAAACGCAATCCTAATCAATGGGATTAGTTGCCATGCGGTATTGCAATCCCAACATTGAGATTGGTTTGTTACCCACATTCTGATTGCCTTGTTAGACCTAACATAGCCAATCAAGCTGGCAATGGAGTATCTGCGATTGTTATTTGAGATTGCAAGAACATCAGGAATGGATCCAGGTTTAGTTGATCTAGTGTAGGTTTATGGAAGCCTTGGCAACAAGAGGATCTCTACAGACAGGCAAGCTGAACCTGGTTCTGATTTTTGGTCTATGTGATCATCTGAAAGATAAATAATCATTATCATATTCGGTTTGATTCTTGGGTTCTGTTCCACAAGTTTTCATAGTACCAAGGTTCTTATAATAAACACATTGTTAACATCCTTTCCAGGGTCTTCAGAATTAAGATTCTTCAAAGTGTCAAAGTTCCTTCTAAAGGTCATACTGAGGTCTATTGAAGGGTATGTGAAGTATGAGTAAGATATATTGGTTGGCCAACTGTTATGATCTTTTGAAAGGTCAACCTGCAAAATACCCATGAATGATTTGGAATTTGCTTAGGTTCTTTGAAGGGTCAGACTGCTAAACACCTTCAAATGAATAGGATTATAAGAATAATTTTACAGGGCTTTTGCTAAGATATTTGAGAGTCTTTCATACCCACTGTAGGTCTAAGATATTCTTTGTTTTGAAAAATACTGCTAAGTTCATTTGTGGATCAGAAACCAAGTTCATATGAGAAACCTTGGTACACTGAGATGAGAACATGGCTAAGTATTTATTTTAAAGGTTATTGCACTGAATCATATCATAATGTATTGTATATCCACTGAGTGTCTTTGCTTTCAATTTACTACAATATCCATGGTTGTGGCCAAAACTGTCAACCTCTGGCCCTAAACATGAATACATGAAAATGTTACTAGTTTTGAAATTGTAACTCATGTGTATATCTGTTGACTGTTTGACTTGAATAAGGACTGTAAGGGAAGTCTAATGGATAAGGTTTTGTTTGCTTGGGCCGGAGACATGGGTTGGGTCTCTAAAATGAAAACCTGTGAGTGTTCCTTGCCCCTATTATAATTATGCGGAATGTTTAGAGTTTGCGATTTTGCAAATCTTAAGGTCCTGCATTGATAGTCAACAGTAGAATTCTGCTGCATTTCACAAGTAAATGAATCCATTACAACAGAGATGTTCCTTAATATTTGGTTCCTTCATCAAGAAGCCAGTGTTAGAAATAGGTATTATAAAGGGATCCATATACAGTTGTTCTGATAAACTGAAATAATCAAGGATCGATTGAAGGTAAATCAAACACAATTTCTATGATTGATGATTAAAAAAACAGGTCATAAATTAAATCATGTCTAGATTTATGACAATGGTAATGTAGATGTTCTTTCTCAGTGTTTTAGTTCAAGTGTGATCAAGTTTCATTGAAGAACAACAAAATAACTTTAACCAATTAATTTTTATGATCAATAGGGCTGGCTAAAAAGTTCGATCATCGGAAATATTTTGTAAATGGGAAAAATGATTACTGATTATCGATATTAATATTGTCTCATCGATAACATTGTGCGTAAACTATGGTGAAGTTTCAATTTACTCAGAACTTACACAAAGTTAGGTCTTTATTCATAAGCTGCTTCTAAATTATGTTCAGCATTTTGTTAATAATCCAAATCTAAATGTGTCACCCACCAGTGATGTGAAATATGTAGATTTCTTTCAAATATTTTTTGCATTTTGCTTTGTTATTTCTTGATATTTATCGATAGGTGATCAATATTCAGTTAGAGATTATCAATCTCTGTGATCTGTATCGCAGCCAGCCCTAATGATCAATCAGTTGAGCCAGTCATCAGCCCTGATCTTTAGCCAATTCCCTAAAGAAGTCCTATGATTTGATCCAACATCCAAAATATACAGGAACCCATAGATTGCACTTAATTCTAACACTGAATTAATTTGTTGGTACATTTTCTAAAACTCCTGTAAGGTTTTCATGAATTGTAGTGGTAATTCAAGTGACATTTTCCAGATTTCTGGTGGCCATAAGTATTCTTCTTAGAACGCTGTGTACATCCTCCATGTTGATGTGGTGAAAGCAATGACTCTTGTCTTTTTGTCTCTAATTTGTTTGTTTGAATATAATGATTGTTTTCTCTAACCATGACATGTAAAGCACAGGCAGTTACATATTTCCATATCATAAAACTGTATGACAGAGACTGATCCAGGCAGCAGACGTCACGTCATCCAATAGTATCATATTTAGACAAGAACCATTACTCGTTTCAACGGTTGCAGCCAATGCGCCATAGCATGATGTTATTATATTCAGGATACAGCGTTTCAAAGCAGGTTTGTATTTTAAATTTGGTTACTAGAAAAGCACAGTTTTGTCTATACAAAGGCAAGGTTGTCAAACATTATCAGTTTTCTTCCAGTTACAAATAGGGGTGCAAAGATCATATTGTGGATTTAACAAACAAACAAACAGGCAAAGACAAACAAGACTGCTTTACAACACAGTTCAGGATTGCCTTCAGAGCCAGTTTTCATTCATCCATTTGTGTTGTCATAATGTTGGCAGCCATCTTGGATTTGAGCTCAATGCCATGATTCTAATCGGAGGGAAAGTGTTTTGATTGGCTTAGTGTGGACTGTCATGTGCACCAAGTATATTACATGAAGACATGAAACTTTCATTGATAAGAACTTTTTTTTCTTGTTTGCAACATTTCATGCCTACTTTTTATATATCATTCACTTGATGAAGGGGCTAGAAGTAGCATTGTTCTGATGAAGGAATTAAAAAACACTTTCACCTGACAAAGCAGCAAAAATTACCACGGAAACATTGTCTCAAACAATATAAAAGTTGTCCATCAAAATTAGTGTCTACATGTGCCACAAACTTCTAACTCAAAGACTTAAGCATGTTATAAACTGAAAGTTTGTGTGGTGAAGATATATATTATTCTGATATCGATATTCATAAATCTACATGAACTAAGAGCAACGTTAAACATTACCCATACATATACCACGAGATACAGTGATGAACAAACTGCAAATTTTCACAAAATACAATAATCTACAACCCTAATATTGATCAGCTAAGGTTCAGAGTCAAAACACTGTTGTAAGTCTTTGAAATCTGAAGAATATAATACTGGCTGTTTTGAATTTTGAGAAATGTGCATTTATCACATGTGCCTGTCATCTGTGCAAAAATGGAATGGTAAATCATTCACTGACTGGAGTAATGGTTCCGTGAGGACAAAATCTAAGTTCCGGAGCTCATCATTGTTTGTTACCATGGTAACCATGTGTAAATTGGAGTTTTTTATTTTTTCAAGCTGCATGTCTACCTGTCACAGATATTGTGTTCAAAACAAGCATAATAAGAATTCTGAATTGTTCGTGTTTTGTGCTGTCATTAACCCTTTCCATGTGGCAGGAATCCCTGACACAAATAGAACTTGTTTTCAACAGACTAAGGGTTAAGTTCATAATTCACTAATATTATCTTTTGCCCTTTGTGTTTTGTCAATGACTCACTGATTTTTGTCATATCAATTACAATTGTCATTAAAAATGTGACATAACCATTTTCATCTGCATCATTGTCAGATGTCAGATCTATGTTGATGATGGCCATGTCAACGCTTGTCACATTCAGAAATTCTTGTTTTTATCATGTCTTTCATTCATATATACCTTCTTCATATCGTCTCACTATATTGTTCATTCTCGCTAGAATTGCGGACGGCGACTAACATTAAGAGTTCCGTAGCGGAAATTCTTTTCTAACATCTTTCCATTTCCTTGTCTCTCTTGTCATTGTATTATTGAATACATTTGTACATTTCATGTGTTGAATATTGTATTATAGTTATTGTGAGTTTTATAACCTTGAGTCATTGTGTTAAATACTTGTGCTAAACAAGTTTGTGTACATATATAAATATATCGCTATCTCCACAGCTGTTTCTGCTAAAAGCAGCATTGTATATTTTGCTTCATTGTGTTGTCCTCATTGTGTGGAGTGTGTTGTAAATTATGTAGAAACAGATGAAATTTAAGCTATTACTAATTATTATGTAACATCATATAAGTGGAATATTTAATACAGTAACAGTTTTTTCCAAAAGTGTTTGCAATTCTCCAGAACGAAAATTTTACTTAAATTTGTTCTTATTGTTAGATTACATCCATCTGTTTTTGGATTGGTTGAACTTCTACCCAGGTTTTTAAATTGGATTGAATGCAATCTTTCACATTTTGTAACTTGGGAACATACAATCCTATGGGAAAGTCAGGTACAATATTGTCTGTAAAAATTCATTTCCTTCTGTTAACTATTATCTTCTTTTAATGAATCCCTTGTTCCACTTAACTGGTCGTTTCAACCTTAATGCAATACTCTCTGTTGCAACTTTTCCCCAAAACACTTCATGAAGCTTTTATTACAATTCACATGGGTCCTCTTCCCCCACCCCACCCACCCCATTCACCTTCCCCTTAAGCATTTATCCATCGTGAGGCAAGGCTTTATCTTATCCCCTGATAACCCTTCATCCTGCCTTCCTCAAGACCTTTATCACTCCTAAAGAATACTGATATTTGTTCATCCTGTTCTCGTATGAACCGAGTGGAGGGGTAGCCAAGTGGTTAAAGCGTTTGCTCGTCTTGCCGAAGGGCCGGGTTGATTCCCCACATGGGTACAGTGTGTGAAGCCCATTTCTTGTGTATCCTGCTGTGATATTGCTGGAATATTGCTGAAAGCAGCGGAAAACTTAACTCACTCACTCACTCATTTGAACCCTCACATATATGAACCCTTGCATGAACATGTATTCATATTGTGATATGAAGCCTCCTCCATCCGTGCCCACAAACCTTCACCCCACACTCCATGAACCCTTCATTCCAACCTTCTGATAGCCTTTTATCCAACC